GGCCTCCCAAAGTGCAGGGATTACAGGCGTGAGGCACTGTGCCCTGCCCCTTTGCCCATTTTTAATTGGCTTGCTTTTTAATTGTTTAGCTGAAATATGTCTTTATATATTGTGGGTGCTATATTATTATCAGATATATAATTTGCAAAAATTTTCTTCAAAGACTTTATGATGTGCCAAAGATTTTACTCATGATGAATTCCAACTTTTTTAAATTGCTTGTACAAAAATTTATACCTTTGTTTTCTTCTAAAAGTTACATAGCATTAGCTACCTATATCATTTGTAAGTTATGGGTCACTTCTCTCCTGCTGTTTTCAATATTCTTTCTTTGTGTTTGTCTTTGGATAATTTTAATATGCTGTGTCTTGGTGTAGATCTATTTGTGTTTCTCATATTTGAGCTTTTTGGATGGGCAGATTAATTTCATTAAATTTGAGAAGTTTTTTCATTGTATCTTCAAATATTATGTTAACGTCTTTCTTTCACTCCTCTTCTGGGACTTTCATTATGCATATTTTGGTACACTTGTTATTATTGCACAAGACACTGAAGCCTTGTTCATTTTTTTTCATTTTTTATCTTTCTGTTCCTCACACTAGAAATGGGATCTAGAAATAGAAATAATATTTGATCCAGTAATCCTGTTACTGGGTATATACCCAAAGGATTATAAATCGTTTTATTATATAGATACATGCACATATATGTTCATGGCTGCACTGTTTACAATAGCTAAGACCTGGAACCAACAGAAACGCCCTTCAATGATAGACTGGGTAAAGAAAATGTGGCACATATACACCATGGAATATGTGCAGCCATAAAAAGGATGAGTTCATGTCCTTTGCAGGGATATGGATGAATCTGGAAACCATCATTCTTAGCGAACTGACACAAGAACAGAAAGCCAAACACCACATGCTCTCACTCATAAGTGGATGTTGAACAATGAAAACACATGGGCATGGGGAGTGGAATATCGCACACTGGGGTCTATTAGGGTGTGGTGGGTCAGGAGAGGGATAGCAGAGGTGGGGAGGTTAGGGAGGGATAACATTGGGAGAAATGCCTGATGTAGGTGACAGGTGGATGGAAGCAGCAAACCACAATGGCATGTATGTACCTATGCAACAATTCTGCAAGTTCTGCACATGTACCCCAGAACTTAAAGTATAAGGAAAAAATTAATAAATAGAAATAAAAGTACCCCCCAAAAATCTCAATTGAACTAATTTCAAATTACTTATTCTTCTGCCCACTCATATCTACTGTTGAGCCATCCTTATGAGTTTTTCATTTCAATTATTTCAGTTAAATGATTTAACCGCAGAATTTTTATTTGTTTTTAATTTATATTTCTGTACTGATGGTTTCTATTTGTTGTGACATTGTTCTCATACTGCTCTTTAGTGATTTAGACATGGTTAAGATTAACTTTATGAACATATTTAAATAGGTGATCTAAAGCCTTTGTCCAGTAAGTCCAATCTTGGGGCTTTTTCAAGGATTGTCTCCATTGATTGTTTTTACTCTTGTATATGGGTCATACATTCTTGTTTCTTTTATGTCACATAACTTTTTGTTGAAAACAGAATAAATACTTCAAGTAATAATATAGTTTAGATGTTTGCCCTGCCCAAATCTCATGTTAAAATGTAATCCTCAATGTTGGAGATTCAGTCTAGTGGGAGGTGTTTGAATCATGGGGGTGATTCTTAATTACTGGATTGGGCTATCCCCTTGGTGATAAGTGAGCTCTCTCTCTGAGCTCAGACAAAATATAGTCACTTAAGACTTTGTAGCACCTCCTTCTCAACTCTCTCTCTCTTTTGCTCTTGCTTTCATCATGTATGATGCCTGCTTCCCTTTCACCGTCTGCCAGGATAATAAGCTTCTTCAGGCCTCCCTAGAAGCTGAGCAGATGCCAGGACCATGCTTTCTGTAAAGCTTGAAGAACTGTGACCCAATTAATCCTCTTTCCTTTATAAATTACCCAGTTTATGCTATTTCTTTATAGCAATGTAAGAACAGCCTAACACACACAAAAAATTGTTATTGAGGAGTGGGGCATTGCTACAAAGATACCTGAAAATGTGGACACTACTTTGGAACTGAATAAAAAAGAAATGTTGGAAGAGTTTGGAAGACTCAGAAGCAGACAGGAAGATAAGGGAAAGTTTGAAACTTATTAGAGATTAGTCTTATAGTTATGACCAAAATGCTGATAGAGACACAGAGAGTGAAGGACAGTTTTATGATGTCTTAGAAGGAAGTGAGAAATTTATTGGGAACTGGAGGAAAGGTCAAGCACGTTATACCTTAGCAAACAACTTGATTTTTTTCCATGGCTAGATTTTTCCCATGGCCTGTGGACTGTGGAAGTTTAAACTTGAAAGCAATGACTTACAGTATCTGGTGGAAGAAATTTCTGAAGTGGCAAATTGTTCAAGATGTGGCCTGGCTGCTTCTAACAACCTATGCTTAAATGTGAGAACAAAAAACTGACTTAAAGTTGGAACTTATGTTAAAAGGGAAGCAGAACATACAAGGTAAAAAAATTTGCAGTCTAGTCATGTGCCAAAGAAAAAACTTTTTCAGAAGAGGAATCGAAGCAGGCTGAGGAGCAACCAGTTGATAGAGAAATTTGCATAAATAAAAAGGAGTCAAGTGTTAATAACTAAGACGATGGGGAAAAAGCCTCTAAGGCATTCAGAAACCTTCCTGGCAGCCCCTCCCATTACAGGTCTGAAGTCTAGGAAGACTGAATAGCTTCACGGGCCAGGCCCAGGTCCCTGCTACACTGCACAACCATGGACACTGCTACTTGCATCCAGGCTGCTCAAGTTTCAGCCATAGCACAAAGGGACCCAGGTACAGCTCAGGCTGCCACTTTGGAGAATGCAATTCATAAGCCTTGGTGGTTTCCACATGGTTTTAATCCTGCAGGTATACAGAGGGCTAGAGTGAATTAAGTTTGGCAGCCTCTGTCTAGATTTCAGGGAATGTATGAGAAAGCCTGGCTGCCCATGCAGAAGTCTGCTGCAGGAGTAGAGTCCCCAGAGAGAGCTTCTACTAGGGGAGTGTAAAGGAAAAATGTGGAGTTGAAACATCCACACAGAGTCTCCAATGGGACCCTGCCTTGTGGAGCTGTGGGAAGGGTGCCACACTCTTTAGACCCCATCGTAGTTTTACCAGTAGCTTGTACCCTCAGCATGGAAAAGCCACAGTCAGTCAACTCCAGGTCTTGACAGGTGCCTCAAGGGCTGTACCATGCAAAGCCATGTGGCAGAGCTCCCCAAGGCCTTGGGAGCCCACCCTTTGCACCAGTGTGCCCTGGATGTGGGACATATAGTCAAAGAAGATTATTTTGGAACACTAAGGTTTAATGACTTCCCTGCTGTGTTTTGAATTTGAATAGCATCTGCAGCCCCTTTCTTTTGGCTTATTTCTCCATTTTGGAACAGGAGTGCTTACCCGATGCTTGTACCCCCATTGTAACTTGGAAGTAAATAGCTTGGTTTTGATTTTACAGGCTCATAGGTAGAAGGGACTTGCCTTGTCTCAGATGAGATTTTGGACTTTGGATTTTTGAGTTAATGCTGGAATGAGTTAAGACTTTGGGGGGATCATTTCTCAATGGATAATTATACATTAAAATGTGAGAAATGACATGAGATTTAGGAGGAGCCAAGGGTGAAATGATATAGTCTAGATATTCTACCCACCAAAATTTTAAGCTGAAATATAATCCCCAGTGTTGGAAATGGTGCCTGGTGGAAGGTGTTTGGATCATGGAAGTAGATCCATCATGAATGGCATAGGCTATGCTCTTGCTGGTAAATAAGCTCTCACTCTGAGTTCATGCATGAACTGGTCTGTGGCCTCACACGTGGCATTAAAAATGTGGGGCATCTCTCCCCTGCACTCTCTCTCTAACTGGCTCCTGCTTTCACCATTTGTCTTGCTTGCCCCCCTTCACCTTCTGCCATGATGGTGAGATTCCTGAGGCCTTTCTAGAAGCCCAGCAGATGACAGCACCACGCTTTCTGTAAAGCTCTCAGAACTGTGAGCCAATTAAAGCCCCCTTTCTTTATAAGTTACCCAGTCTCAGTTATTTTTATAGCATTGCAAGAACGGCCTAAGATAAATGATATAATGTAGCAATTCTCAAAATCAAATTATCCCTATTTCCTTGGAGTTTTTTGGTGTTGCTTAATGTTTGTTTGCTTGTCTAGTAACTTCTCTGAACTATTTCTGTAGTCAGTATTTTTTGTTTTGTGTGGCCACCAAAGTATTTATTCTTTTGGTTTAATGGTTGGCTAGTGATTGGACAGATATATTCTTAACCATAGTAGGATACTGCTGTATCCCAAATCTTCTTAGCAAAAAATTGTATTAGGGCTAGTTTTGGTCCTTTCTGAGAGCATTTAATTGCTTGTTACATAGTCTGACCATTATGAAATAGGAAGCCTGAAGATGGTTTCTTTGTCCGCCTTTTTTAGGAAGTGATACTGTCACCCAACACACACTACACGTTTCCCCATTTGTGTTCCAGCAACCTAAACTCTAATTTCATTCACATGCACATACACACAAACAGAAACACCAGGCCCATTTTTCTTCTTGGCTATGGGTTATAATGTTAAGAATGGAAATTTGTCTTCAGTGCTCAATCCTCACCCAGACCTTATACCCAACGTTTGGCTCATAGTAGACCTGCAAACATGTCTATAAACCCACTGGCAGGTCAACCCCCTTCAGTTCTCCAGGACCTCACTTTGCTTCTGTCTCACAAATTGCCCCTTCCCTTCCTTCTCTCTTTTCTCACAATCAGAAAACTTATAGAGATACATGCACATATTCTGAAATAAAGAGTCTTCATAACATGTTGATTTTGTTTTAATTACCACCACCACTGTTTCATGATGCTGTTGTATCTTATAGGAGTGTCATTTTTTACAGCATCTTGGTCCTGGCCTGAGTGCTTTGGGTCCTATTCAATCTTTGCTAGTTGCCAGAACTTCTTGGCTTTTTTCACTTTTTACCTTTTCTGGAATTTCTGTAATAGTACTAGAAGATTTTTTTCCCTGAACTCCCATGAAGCAGTCGTTTTATTGCCCTCTGTATCTTCCTCACCTGAAAGGGCAACAGAGTGATCACAGAAGGATATTGTGTTGGAGGAAGGAGATAGGCACTGAATGAGAAGAGGAGCTTTGTGAAAAGGGACATGGGCTAATCAAGGGGTTTGTTCCAGGCAGGTAAAATGTAGGAGACATAGGGGAGGGTGAATCAAGAGAAAAGAGCTTGAGTGAGGTGATCTCACCTTGCCTCCATTTCTGGCCCCGGGATGAGAGGAGTTCTTTCTCTTCTTCCCTTTTTTGCTTGAGATTAATTTTTTTGTGCTTGAGTTTGGTTGTTCCACAACTTTGCTACATCCTTTCAATTTTCTGGTAACTTTAGCCATGTTGAAACCCCACAGTAGTCTTCCCTCCCACCATATAAAATGCTCATAATCAGGACAATGAGGAGCCACACCCTTTAGCTTTATTTGTTCATCTAGGCATTTCTTCTGGCCAGCAGGGGTTAAAGGAGCTGTAGACATCACAAAGGACTCTTGGCTTCTGCCTAATGGTGAGAATGTTGGGGAGATTCATGTGCTCTGGTTGGAGACAGTGGCATTTCCTTCACATCCCACTAAAAAGCTTTCCCAAACTGACCTGTAACCCTTTCTCATTACTTGCACAGATGGCAAGAAAAAAGTGATGCCTCCAATCTTTCTCCATAGCCACTTTCATTCCATTTTTATTTTACTCTCTCCCATTCTTCATCATGACCTAATATTTTGGATAGCTTACCTAAAATCTCTCCAAGAAAATGTGATTATATTTAAGTTTCTGTGTAGATATAAATCACCTCATTCCCCTTCAAAAGATTTCTCTTATGCTCCTTGAAGACAATTTCATTATTGGCTACTACACAAAACTTCCCATCTCACTTTTTTTCCAATGACTGTATCGACCTCTTCATTTTTCTATTGTTTCATATTGGCATAGCAGCTCTTATCAGTCATGAAAAGATTGTGATACTAGCATAAAGACAGGCATATACAATAATAGAATATAAGTATAAGAGGCCAGAAATAAACCCATGTATCTATGAAAAATTGATTTCTAACAAGGATTCAAAGACAAGTCAGTGGAAAAGAATAGTTATTTCAACAAATGGTATTGTTGCAACTGGATATTCACATGCAAAATAGTGAATTTGGATCTCTAATTCACACCATATATACAAATTAATTTAAACTGGATCAAAGAGCTAAATGAAAGAGCTAAAACTATAAAATTATTTGAAGAAAACATAGGCAAATTTATCCATGACCCTTCATTCAGCAGTAGTGCCTTAGAGGATAACACCAAAGGGAAAAGTAACAAAAGAAAAATTTTGCTAAGTTGACATCATCAAAATCAAAACCTTGTGATTCAACAGATAAAATAAAGAAGGTTATGTACAACGCACAAAATGGGAAAAAATTGCAGATTATAATGTCAGTAAGAAAAATTCATGTAGACTATATAAAGAATTTTTACAACTCAATAATAACAATGTTACCCAACTTAAAAGTGGACAAGGAGTATGAAACACATATCTCAAATAACCAATAAGCAGATATCAACATAATCAGCATCAGTAGCCATCATGAAAATGCAAATCAAAACCACAATGAGATACCATTTCACATGCACTAGGATAGTAATAATAAAAAATGACAGATAATAAGATTTGGTAAAGTTGGGAAAAACTTTAGCCCTTATACCTTGTTTGTGGAAACAGAAAGTGGCACAGCAGCTTTAAAATCTAGTCTGGCGGTTACCAAAAAAATGCTAAAATACAATTATCGTATGATCCTGAATTCCCACTCCTAGGTATGTACCTAAGAAAAATGAAAATTATATTCTTACAAAAACTTGTACATGAATGGTCATAACAGCATTTTAAAAAATATATATTTTTTATTGCCCTTTAGGTTCTGGGGTACATATGCAAAACATGCAGGATTGTTGCATAGGTACATACATGGCAATGTGGTTTGCTGCCTCCATTCCCCTGTCACCTATATCTGGTACTTCTCCCCATGCTATCCCTCCCCAACCTCCCTACCTCCCACTGTCCCTCCCCTATTCCCCCACAACAGACCCCAATGTGTGATGATCCCCTCCCTGTGTCCACGTGTGCTCATTGTTCAATACCCACCTATGAGTGAGAACATGCAGTATTTGTTTTTCTGCTCGTGTGTCAGTTTGCTAACAATGATGCTTTCCAGATTTATCCATGTCCCTACAAAGGACACAACTCATTGTTTTTTATGGCTGCATGGTACTCCATGGTGTATATATACTACATTTTCTTTATCCAGTCTATCATTGATGGGCATGTGGGTTGGTTCCAAGTCTTTGCTATTGTAAACAGTGCTGCAATGAACATTCGTGTGCATGTATCCTTATAATAGAACAATTTATAATCCTTTCGATACATACCCAGTAATGGGATTGCTGGGTCAAATGGTATTTCTATTTCTAGGTCCTTGAGTAATCTCCACACTGTCTTCCACAATGGTTGCACTAATTTACACTCCCACCATCAGTGTAAAAGTGTTCCTATTTCTCCACATCCTCTCCAGTGTCTGTTATCTCCAGATTTTTTAATGACTGCCATTCTAACTGGTGTGAGATGGTATCTCAGTGTGGTTTTGATTTGCATTTCTCTAATGACCAGTGCTGATAAGCAGTTTTTCATATGTTTGTTGGCTGTGCAAATGTCTTCTTTTTAAAAATGTCTGTTCATATTTTTTGCTATTAATATCATATTTGTTAAAAAATATAGCTATTTGGCTGTGGATTTGTCACAAATAGCTTTTACTATTTTGAGACAATGTTCCATTGATACCTAGTTGAGAGTTTTTAGCATAAAGGGCTGTGTAATTTTGTTGTTTGCCTTGTCTACATCTATTGAAATAATTATGTACTTTTTGTCTGTTTTCTTAAATTTTTTAAAAATATAGCTATGTTTTAACAAAGAAGAAGAAAAGAAACTATTCCAAACAATAAAAAAAGAGGGATATATAAAAACTAGGTATCAATGGAATGCCTAATGCATGAGAAGTGATAGCTCATTGTGGTTTTGCTTTGCATTTCTTTAATCATTAATGCTTTTTAGGATATTTTTATATTCTTGCTGGCCATTTGTATGTGTTCTATGGAGAAATGTTTCTTCAAATCCTTTACCCATTTTTAATGGCAAAATATTTACTATTTTAATGAATATTTGTTATACATAAGGCTATACATGAGTTATAAGGGTTCTTTATATATTCTGGATATTAACTCCTTATCAGATATATAGCTTGCAATATTTTCTCCCATTCATTACCCTCATTCATTCCTCCCATTCAAATAGTGTCCTTTGATGCACAAAAGTCTTTATAATTTAATAAAGTTCAATTTGTCTATTTTTTTCTTCAGTTTACTGTGCTTTTGGTGTCATATCCAAGAAATTATTGTTAAATTAAATGTCATGAAATTTTCCCATTTTGTTTACTTCTAAAGGGGTTTAGTTCTTTTGGCCTTTGATCCATTTTGAGTTAATTTTTGTATATGGTGTAAGGTATGGGTCCAACTTAATTTTTTCACATGTGGATTCCAAGGTGTCCCAGTACCATGTATTGAAAAGATTGTTCCTCCCCATCCAACAGTCTTGGCATTCTTGTTGAAAATCATTTGACTATGTATGTGAGGATTTATTTCTGGGCTCTCTATTCTATTCCATTGGTCTATATTTCTGTCTGTATCAGTACCACATTGTTTTGATTATTGCAGCTTTTTTTTTGAGATTGGGTTTTGCTCTGTTGCTCAGGCTGCAATGTAGCTGGACCACTGGTGCATGCCACCACATAACTTCAAAATTTTCTTGTAGAGATTGGGTCCCCCTGTGTTGCCCAGGCTGGTCTCAAAAAACTCCTGGACTCAAGCAATCTCCATCTCAGGCTCCCAAAGTTCTGAGATTATAGGTGTGAGCCATTGTGCCTGGCAATTACTGTAGTTTTATAGTAAGTTTTGAAATCTGGAAGTGTGAGACCTTCAACTCTGTTCTCAAGATTCTTGTGGCTATTCATAGTTTGTTGATATTTCGTAGGCATTTTATGGTGAATTTTTCTATTTCTACAAAAAATGTTATTGGGATTTTATAAGATTTCCATTGAATCTGTAGGTTAGTATAAATATTTTAACAATATTAGTCTTCTAATCCATAGACAAAAGATTATTTTATTTATTGTTGCTGTTATTAATTCCTTTCAGCAATGTATTATAGTTTTCAGTGTATAAGACTTTTGGCTCACTGGATAAATTTATTCCTAAGTATTTTCTTGTTTTCCATGCTATTGTAAATAGCATTAGTTGTAAACCTTGCTTTTCATTGTTAGTGTTTAGAAATGCACTAATTTTTGCATGTTAATTTTGTTTCTTGCAACTTTGCTGGATTTATTAGCTGTAACAGTGTTTTTGTGAAATCTTAAGTAGTTTTTACATGTAACATCACGTTGTCTGCGACCAGAGACAATTCAACTTCCTCTCCTCTGTTGTGGATGCCTTTTATTTATTCTTGCCTAATTGTTCTGGCTAGGACTTCTAGTACTATGTTGACTAGAAATTTCAAAAAAGTGCATCCTTGTTTTGTACATGATCTTTGAGAAAAATCTTTCATCTTTCATTACTGTATATGATGTTTACTGTGGGTTTTTTATTTATGACCTTTATTATATTCAGGTAGTTTTCTTCTATTCCTAGTTTGTTGAATGTCTTTACCATGAAAGCATGATGAATTTTGTCAAATAAATTTTCTGCATCAGTTGAGATTATCATGTATTTTTCCCTTCATTCTCTTAATGTGGCATATTACATTGATTTATTTTCATATGTTGAATCATGATATCATCTTGTTAGTATTTTAATATTTGTAGAATCTTTAGTGATGTCACCTTTCTCATTACTGATATCAGTAATATGTGTCTTGTCTCTTTTTCCCCTGATCAACATGACTAGATGCTTATCAATTTTATTGATTGACCCAAATAGCCAGATTTTGGTTTCACTGATTGTCTCTATTGTTTTTTTTGTTTTCTATTTCATCGATTCTGCTCTGTTCTTTGTTTGTTTGTTTTTTTCCTCTCCATTTGGTTGGTAAATCTTCCTCCATCCCTTTGTTTTGAGTCTTTGTGTATCCTTGCGTGTGAGATGGGTCTGGATGCAGCATACTGATGGGTTTTGGCTTTTTATCCAATTTACCTGTCTGCGTCTTTTGATTGGGGCATTTAGTCCATTTAAATTTGGGATTGATATTGATATATATGAGTTTAATACTGCCATTTAATGCTAGCTGGCTGTTTTGCCCATCAATTGATGTAAA